CTTTAAATATACATATCTTCAATTAAGAGACAGGCCCCAAGCATGCGTGTGACGTAAGGAAGGAAAGTCGATGACAAGCCATCACCTCGCCGCGACGGCGAGATCGTATCCTTTTTTTTTCGAACGATCGACGGAGAAAGTTCGCATTAACCGAGAGTAACGAGAGAAGTCGAGGAGATTCCTCTTCCTTCTCCTCTTACCCCGATCCTAGTCCTCAGGGATGACACGATCGAGGACACGAGCAAAACCCTATTGAGCATCTTTCGCATGGACCTCGGACGTCCCGCATCCTTGCTCATCTTCGCGAAGAGATCGCGCACTTGTCACTCGCGCGCGACTTTGACAGACCGACGTTACGTCATCTTCCGAGAGAGAGAAAAAAGAATCGGAAGACAACGGAGGAACGCGGCATGTAAAATCCAAACTGATAGAGGCTGTCGCGATCTGCACTGATTTCGTCGACTGCTATCAGCGACGAGAGCGAGCGATACCGAACGACGAATCGAAACTGAGCGACACCCGGCGCATACTGACGCCGAGAGTAAAAAGTAAGTCCGCTCGTCGCGCACTTTATCTCACCTCGGTGGTTTCCTGCTGATACCGCTCGCCGGCAGCCTGAAACGCAAAAGCGAAACGTGACGTCACTTGCGTACGCGCGCCGCGCGCGTGTATGAAACGTTATTAGGGAAAAATGGGTGAAACGCGCGCGGTAATTAGCCGCGGCCTGGAGAAGCTATCACTGCCTTGCTTTCTGTCTTTATTAAGTTTTTATTAAACGAGCCTAGCAGCTTTCCTTCGGCCGGCACGCGCGAATCGTCCTCGCGTCCTCGAAATCTCGCGCCGTTCACCGTGAAAACGAAGAAAAGTATTTTGAGTCTATTTAAGGAATTTTCGTGACGTGAAAATTAATTATGACGAATAGGATGCGCGAGTAATTAGATAACTACGCGAGCTACGTTGCGTGATGGTTATCGCGATAATTAACAAGATGATCAAGTTTGTAATTTAGTAGATAATAAACATGTCAATAATCATTATAGAATATATTAAGCGGAAACGCACGCAAAAAAATTTTTTTAAGTGAAAGATTTGCGGACAAAATAATTAGACGAGGGGCGCGCGTGTTTCGAAAGATTGACGGACCGAAAATTTATCCTTTCGAGATGTAGAGGGAAAAAAATTGTTCGCCGAATACTTACGTGCGCTATGTTGGCCGTATCCGGCGAGGTCGTCGAGGCCAGCTGATTCCGGTTCTCTATGACCGTTTTTATTTGCTCGAGTACCTACGAACCAACGAACGAACGAACGATAAGTGGCGGTCAATAATTATGCGCACGGTTCTGTCATTTGCAGAAATTTTATCTGATGGAAAAATCTAATTTTTCGCAAGGACAGGCTCCTTAGTTTTCCTATTTTTTTTTTATCAGTCGTACTTGAAAGCAAAATATCGTAATATTGAAGAACGCCAATTATATTGTCAGTGTATACGTCGTGCGCGTATATATATAATGTGGCGTTTGAAAAGCGGAAAAATATTTTCCGCCGACGGAAAAATACGGCTATAAAGATCCGTTATGCGTTTCGCGTGAAATGTTTATCGCTAAACGTGGAGAGGCGACCATGATTTGCGGCGTGTCAATTCACGAGCTTTAAAAGTATGTTAAAAACTTCCGCGAATTACCCGAAGGGATATCCGGTGCCTTTGTGCGACATGATGATGATTGTATTCCTTGTGCTCGATGATCTCGTTACTCTTCCTGGCCTGCCTCCGCTGGAAAAAGAGACGAAGAAAAAACGTGACGTTTTCGCAAAGTGAAACCGCACGTGAAGTCCTCGCGAGTTTCGGGTTTTCCACGAACGTGAAAACTATTCGTGACTTTCCTCAAGTATCAGGACGGAACGCGCTTCTCATTTTTTTCTCTCGAAAATAGAAAGGATAGAAAGGATCGTTCCACATTTCGCGTGGCATTCTGACACGAATTATCAAATAATTATCAATCGCATTAATTGCGGCCGTTGAGAGACGCGTTCGAAGCCATGATTATCTGTTCTAATCGAAATGCACAATATAATTTGCCAGATAAATTTGCGAAAGAGAGAAGTGGAGATATCATCTTGCACGTATTACTTCCCATAGAACCGAGTTAATGTACGTGACTATTAATAAAAACAGATCGGATCATATCAGATAAATTGATAAATATATCAGCTAAACTGTAATTACCCTCCTCATTTTAATTAAAGTGTGAAATATAGTTTACTAGCACATAATAAAGTTTTTGTAAATCACATTTTGTTTGTAAATTTATGCAGAATTAATATTTATCATACACTGTAAAAATAAATTAGAGATTTTTATTAGAGATTTTTATTATAATAATAAAATAACATTTTACTAACATCATTATTATTATCTTGAATGTTGATGATTATAAATTTAATAAAGTTTAAACATTTTCAAAATTATAGTGACATATGTGTTTATTTAATTTTGCTTTTTCATTCTAATATTATTGAAAAAGGAAAATTAAACAATAGCCACTACAATACTAATTTCTTTTTCTTTTTATTTTTTTTAATTATTACGGATCTAAATTGGAAAAAAATTGAACCATTTTTTTCCAACTTTAAAAATTCATCTTTAAAGATAACTGTACTCATTTTTATAAACAAAATACGTATTACAACGTAAACTAAATGGAACCGACGAAAAAGCCAAGATAACGATCTACGATCTCGCGAAGGAAAGAACAACGGATGAAAGTAACGGCGGGCGATGGGAGAAAGAAAAAGTAAGTTGTGCGTTCATTCGAGGAAATACAGAACGGCAGCCAAGTAATTAGTCAGCCCCGTTCGTTAATTGCATTCGCGGCGCATCGTCAATTTTATGCGACTACGTGGTAACGGTAATGCGGATTTGTCCGAGTAACATCGTGTGAGCACCGCCGCGATTCTTCAGCCCGCCGTGAAAATTGGGAGACAAGTCACGAGCCGATCGCGGACATGTGTAATCGCGTAGCTCGATTCGCGCGTGTTTCGAATAAAATACGTCGTCGCCGCTCTCTCTCGACGACTGCGAGATTAGATGAGTAGCACCGGCCGTTTTTGCGACGAAGCGTTCACGCTTCACGCGGCGGCGAGCACCAAGTCTCCGCGTACTCGTGTATATAATTCGCGAATATGTAAACGATACGAGCAAATACACGTACGTAAATTGTACTTGCGTCACGATTAACGAGCGTTTGCCGGATAATTCGAGTGTCGCCGGGAGTTTCACCGGCTGGTAGAAAGGAAAACTCCAAGTCTCGAGCATCGGCCGTGCAAACGATTGTGCAAATATTGCAGCGATTTTTCAAACCGGAGATAGCCCGCCGTGAAATATTAATCGTTTGCCAACGAGATAGCGGAAATAAAAAATATTGTTATTTCTTTTTTTTTACAAAATTGATGAATTATTGTACGCAAATAAATTTACCCATTTACCCATTTACAGGAACTTGAACAGATGAAATATTTCTTCTTTCCATTTTTAATTTTGGGAAATCTTTCCCTCGATATTTCTTTAAAAGTTGTATGTCGTATGTTTAAGCATTGACTTAAATAATCTATCAGTCCTTCGTGACTGATCCCTCGAGAAATACGTTAAGAACAACTCGAATGTTTTGCAGAATATTTATGACATCTGAATACGAGAATAAATACTGACCTCGAGCGTCGCCAGACTGGCCAGCGAGGAAAGAGGCCGAGTGTGAGGAACTTCTCCCGGGAAAACGCTGTCATGAGACACTGACAACTTGCCGGCACCTCCTCGTAACTTGACGAAGTTGTCTTCCACTCCGCCTCTTCGGAGGAAAACGCTAAAAGATAAAGAAACAGGAAAACGTTCAATTACATTAAAAGTTATTTCGACCTTTTTGGATGATATTGATAAAAATATAAATTTCGTATTACATTATGTATTAAATGAAATTATCAAAATTAAATAAACACAAACAACTCTCTTGCGTAAGTACATGCATAGAAATATATATAAACCGTGCAAAAAATATATGTAAAAAAATATATATAATTTATTAAATAAGATAAATAATTTACAACGTATAAAATTTTATGTATATGTAATAAATTAATTAATATACAAGAACGTTGATCTTTCCTATAAATAAAATTTGCTCTAAATTTACCATAAAAAAATCGGGGAAAGCAGCGTACGCGTTCGACACGAATTGCGTTCAACATAAAATTTATTTGCTGTCATTAACACTCGAAGTTAAGGCAATGAGTTATTTGCCAGGAATAACACGCGTCAACAACGTAGATAATTATGATCTTTCTGTGATGTCCTCTCTGCGACAGCATCAGACTCATACTAAAACAACCGCGTCGTTGTTATAACAGACACGACATTACATGACCCACGTAAATCACACGAAGCACGCAAAACGCCCTCAAGTTTCGTGCTATTACGGCAAGCTACTACGGTACTACTACAAGATAAAAACGAAAAAACGAGGTCAAGGATTATAAATTGAGTTATAATGAGTCGAATGTTGCGACCGCGGCTCAATTCGCGTTTGGAAACGAATAAAATTATGTTTTATATTTGTAAAAAAGAAGGAACAAGTCTTCTTTTATTATTAATATTTTTTTACTATTTTGAAAGAAAATTATTAACATTGCAAAGTAATATAAAGCAGAGATTAGATTTACAAGTAAAGCAGATTAAAGAAATTTTGAAGTAGCAAGTACTAATTATTATCAGGATATCGTGTTATGTTTTAATTAAGTTTTAATTTTCGCGATAAAATTATTTCAAGGTATTGTTAGATTTTTGAATTTAAATAAGATGTTTTCCATTGTAAATTTCTCCGCAATAAAAGCGCTACGGGATAATTAGCTAATTATTATCAGTAGCTGATATTTCGGTGGCATGATCAGTGTTATTATCTACGTTACGAAATTATTTTTGGAAATGATGATTAAAATTCTGCGAAATTTAAGCGACTATTATATAACTTGGTACTCTACTGGTGCCAATAAATTTCATGATATTTACTGTTTAAAAGATCCACGTGTCTTGAAAAATGCAAGGAAATTGCATCTTTCCGATGATCGAACGCGTAGTTCACTGAAAAGATTTAACACAGTATTGCCAAATATTGACAAATCGGTAGATACGATATTCCAATATCGCATTTAATCTTAGTCAAAAAATATCTACATAAAATTCCGCATGCACCTAAAATAACCTTTATCTTATAAGGAAGCAGCTCCGAAAAAATTCGGATGTAATTCTTACAAAAATGTATATAATAAGTTAAAAAAATAATTACTTCTATAAATAATAAAACATAAAGTGAGATTTTCGGATGGTAGCAATTTTCCAAATTACTTTTATATTTATTATTTTAAGGAAATCTGCGTTTTTTTTAAAGAAATCTTATTTCCGAAATTGATAAAAATATATAGAGACGTTTTTTACCTTTCCCGATCGCAGGAATCGGTAAGAAGCTCACTGGCGCTTCTGCTGCGGGCTTCCTCGGGACGTCCTGCGGGATGCCTCATCGTGATCTCATCCCGTGGGATGCGCGCCAACTCTGCATCCCGATCGGTTGAATTGGAAACGGAACGTATATCGGCGGCGCCGCGGCTTTTCCGTCGAAAAATTTTCCGGAGACCACGTAGAGGATGAAAACGACGCTTCTTTGGTTCTGCAAGGGAGATATTCGAAAAGGATTCTGTTAGAATAACTGTACAAACTCAACTTCTTCCTACTCAAATACTGATGTTTATGTGTATATTAATTTTTTAAAGATTTTTATATTATTAATAGAGAAGGAATAAATAAACTATCATTTATCACACTTATTTTTAATTCTTTTTTGTAAATTGCTTTATTTAAATTAAATAAAATGGAATTAAACAAAGAAACACAATTTTTCATTCGTCCTTGAAGGAATTAATGCAATCCTATTATAATTAGAAAATGAAAAGTAATTACAAACCAAGTGCATTTTATATTTCATATTTTATACAAATAAAATTACTTGCAATATTCTTAAATAAAATTTCAAATATTTAGAATAAATGTTTTTAAAAATACACGTTGTGATACATATTTTATATCACTATTTTCATTGAAACTGACAGTTGTGAGATCCTTGCGAGATGCACGACGAGCAATATTTACCGAGAGAGTCTACGAGTGAATCAAGAGAAGGCATCCTTCGTGCGAAAGATCTAAAGCTAGAATTCACATATTTCGTTTGCACAGTGTACACTTGACTAACTTCACAAATTTGATAAACGCAAAATAATTTGATAAACAACAGTCATAACGCGATAAGATTACGAGCTCGGTCTATCGATAACTCCATATTGATATAATATAAACTGAGAGCCTCTCCTTATAAGGTGTAAGTCTAATATCACACCGATATTCGACATCTCTCTCTTTAATGGTCTCTTTACTCTCTTCCTACCTCCTCTTCTCCAATCTGTCTTTATCCCCCGTCTATCATAATAAGCACGTCAACTTTAACTTGACATGACGCATCTGTCGATACTTCTTGAGAAAACCTCGCGATGCTTTCGATGTTAATGCACAGAAATGAGATTTGAGACTTTTAGTAGACAGGCAATCTCAACGGCAGATGGAGATGGCAAATCAAAAAAACAAAAACTAAAAGAATTCGTTGTGCATATTTACGTTGTATCACGTGAAACAAAATAAACAATCATAACAAAAGTAATAAGGAACGAACTAAATAAATACGCGAAACTGATATGGAAAGAACGATGAAGTAAAATGGAAAAAATTACACTAAAAGCTTTTCTGAAAATTTATTTAGAAAATTTATTTAGAATTATATAAAATATAAAAAAATTTAAGATTCCAACAAACCTATAGCGGCAATATACACGAGTTAATTAAAGTTTAATTAAAGTTTGTATTAATCTGTTTTTACATTTAGAATGCAATCTCTTTCATCATATTAATATTTAATGACCTTTGAATTATTCGACTCATTCATAATTTTATATATCCTGCAATTATAATATAAAATTCAGTATTAATCAATATTTGGAGTCAATATATCCTAACTTGATATATCGTGATAACGCTAAGATTAAAGTCGATCTACCACAGTTCCGTGCTGCGTGATGCTGCGTTTAAAGTAGATCTATCACGATCTCCACGTACGTCATGCGATCAAATATCGGCCCACACGACTCTAACGAGACAAGGGGAGACGAATGAACGCTTGATCGGGAGTGATCTTTACTGTGTACTTGACACTCTCTAGGCTAGCGCACTTTACACGCTTCAGCGATGGCTCCGGCGTCGTTGAAGCGCGAAAAATAATGCTACGCCCGAGTCGCTCGCTCGCGGCTGTCTATCGTACGTAACGAGAAACATCTGTGCGATATCGGAAATAATAATGCCACTGGCCGAGAAAATTCTCTAAATACAAAAAGAATCCAACGACGAAAAATTGGTTTAAAATGTAAATTATATCGCATTATTACAGAAAATAATAATTTTTTTTTTATGAAAGTTGAGATTTATGTTCCGTCCAAAGTTGATGTATTGATTACAAAAGAATTTCAGGACAACGGCCAGGGCTCTGACAAATGTTAGTTGAGAATTCATGAAGTTTCCCTAATTATATTCTCGATTAAAAAATTAATTTCACGAAACTAATTTACCCCACGATTGTCGAGTCTCTGCAATTTACCGGGATCCAACCCAATGTCGGAAGTTGTTGTTCCGACCCGGAAACTCGCCCGTAATGATACATAACGCGGCTATGTTTTTTCGAACAATAGTCACAACAGTTCCGTGACACGAAACGAGAAAAAAGAAACTACAGCCCGCCACCTGTCATAATTATAATTGCCATCATCGTTTTAATCTTTCTGTCCGCTCTTAATTAAACATAATACGCGTGTCTTACTACCGCTAACGACGACCTCGATTCACCATCCTTGCCCGAGATGCGGAGGACGTCCTGGCATTCGTACAACCTTGCGGATTACAGACGATACCGTAATGTGACGCTAACTTGGGCATGAACTTGGAGAACCGTTGAATTAAAATTAATAGGTTATCCTCTCCAGAGGCAAATCACTTTAAACTTCGAGCAACATAAAACCAAATATAAAAGATTCTGTCTTAATTCTTATTTATTTTTCATGCAAGAGACAATATTTATTCCATATTTATTTTTAATTATCTACGAGATATGGAACTATCATTAAAAAATGTAAAAAATGCCAATTCTGTTGTGAGGAATGATTTTATCATTGAATTTCCGCGATGCACATATTTTTATGGGAAATCGATCGTGTAAACGTGGCATTCAATAAAACCCATATGTTTCATCATACGCCTCATTTAGGCGGCTTGCCATAATATACGCCTCGGGAATTCGCACGTCTCAACCTCGAACGAGCGCGACATCGAGAATCCAATTCTCGGAAAAGGAAATGCAGTTTTTCTAACAGCGTGTCTAGACCGCCGCCGCGAGCATTGTATTTCTACTATTTTCTGGAAATCAACAGGAATTCCCCAGGGAAATCCTTTCGACTTGAATGCAACGTATGATCGAAAAATGCAACCGGTAGTTATTGAAATTTGCATTGTATCAATTTATCTTATTAATTATTATATTATGATAATACTAGCATCAAATAAATAAAATTAGGAATAGAATTAGAAATTACGTTTAAAGAAAAATGAAATATGCATTTAAAGAGAACTATTCTAAAAAAAAAATTATTAAAAATATGCAATATCAAATTAATAATTTTATTAAATATTTATTTTACTTAACATTTTTTCTCCAAAATGCTTCTATGCATCAAGGATATGAACTGTCAAAGTACGCTAAGAGCACTCAAGTAACTGACCTTTGGGCAAAGGGTCGACGCTAGGCTGAGTCGCCGGGAACTCGCCGAGGCCAAAAGCGCGATGCTGCTGATGATGATGATGCTGCTGATGATGATGGTTCTGAGGGGGCGGCGAGGCCTCCCTCACGCAACCCATCAGGCTGAGGGCACCGCCGACACCTCCACCTCCGCCTCCGCCGCCGGGGACGGTGCTCGTCGACATTGTCCTGCTGTTCTGAAACACCCCGAAGAACCAGAGTGCGACGTAGGACTCTCTCACGCGCTGGTACCATGCCGAGAGAAACGAGCTGTCCGATCTTTTCCAGCTCTTCCAGCCGTCCATGCTTTCCCGCCTCGAATTCCCGGACGTGTCTAAACGCGATGAGAAAATACCTTGTGCTTTCTTTTTCTGCCTTTGCCTGCCGCTTAATGAGCGCGGATGGAATTAAAAGCGAAGGTGTGGTCTTGGTGCGGCCGTGTTGCGCGACGATTCGGGGAATATTGATTTCTATCAGCTGACCTTACTTTCGTCTCTCGGGGCGACCTTGCGCAACTTAATTCGACACGAATGGTATGCCTTGATTAATGGATCATAATTTATTTCCGCGACGATTATTATTGATTGATTATATAAAAGGAAAATAATCGATCGATCGACGATCGCGAGAGATAGGAAAAAAACTTTTTTTTACCGTGAACTATTTTGAGGGAATCTAAACCGCGAAATAGTTAAATAATTATTATATTTTTAAAATTTTATTCGTAGTAATATTAATTACTTCGTATTATCATTTGAGATCGATTAAACGATCTTTCAATTATAATACTCGATTAACTCAGATAATTTTAAACGTACTATATCATCAATTTTACTCTCGTTTCAACGTGTTTAAGCAGTTTAAACGAATATAACAAACTTCAATTATATTTCGCGTTACTTTATGTGACATCTGCACTATTCGCCCGTTGACCGACAGTAATGTCTAAGACGCAGCACCAAACGGTCAACTCACAGAGAACTTCACCGCGGGGGGCACACAAATTACACGCGGCTATTCTTCACACGGATCGCGTAGATCGCTCCCGAAGCGTCTCTCTTTCCCAAGGATCGCGCCCGGGACCGCGGCGCGGGACAGGCACGCGGAAGAGATTCCTCGCCGCGGAATGTCGCCTTTCGAATCGCAAAGAAAGGCGGGAAGAAGAGCGGGAAGAAGAAAGAACGCGGAATGCATTAAACGCGCCGTCGCCTTCGCCGTTCTCCGCTCCACGACCGTAGGAGAGGAGGATTAATACTCGATCCCCGGGTCCCGCTCTGCGCGTCAACGGGCTGCCCGCGCTCCGCTCTTCTAGGCAATGGGGGTCAGGAGGAGATGGTCGCCATAGCAACTGTATCCGGCGAAGGGATGCGCGGAGCGACGGCGGGCGGTGCATCGATTGCACCCTCTCGGCTGGCGCGCGCGCGACCCTGACCTTCGCGCACAGCTGACGACGAGGATGACGGCGGAGCTGGGGCTCCGCTCCGCGCCGCCACGTCGCTGGAACGTGGGGAAGCCTGCCTGAGAATTAACGCTGCTGGTTCTTATTAAGGTACCATCGTCACGTAACTATCGTCGGTGTGTTAAAGTGCGATGTCATCAAAAATATGCGCGCGGAGAATTCATTACGCTCGCCATTTTAAGGATGTACTATGCCTATTTTTATTTACAAAAAATTGTAGATTACTCTAAATCGCATTTAAGAGAAATTACAAGAAATTTTACGGCGGTTTAAAATCTGGATGGAAATTATTTACAAATAATTAAATAAATAAAGAAATGTGCTTTAATTGAAATATAATTAAGAAATAATGACAAATCTCAATTTTTTTTTATATAAATATTTTAAGTATTCAAGATGATTTATGTAAAGTTTGATTATGATGCAGAGATTAGTTCTGTAAATAAAAATTAAATGTTTATTAACAAGTACAAATAAAATGAGTGGTGACATCAAAATAAAATAAAATTTTTATTTATTAAAAAACAAATAATCTTTGTAACTTTACATAAATCATCTTGAGTACTTAAAGTAAAAGTAAATGTAAAAAAATTGAGATTTTTGTCATTATTTCTTAATTAGATTTCCATTAGAACAGAATTTCTATTTATTTTAATAATTTTTGATCTAATTTCTAAATCGTTAAATTTGTTTGTATTATTTTTAAATGTTATTTAGTAAGTAGTTTTTATTGTAAATTATAAAAATAAATGTAATACTTTATTGAATCTGAAATAATTCAAGAACAAAAACAAAGAATAATCTAAAAGTTCTACATTTCTTTCCTGATTTCGTTAATGCGAAGATTGATAGATTTTAATAATATAGAGTATAATTAGTTATTTCCTATTTTGGTATAATTATTTTTCACATTAATTACCGGTTTTACACATTAATTAGATTAACGTATGGATTGCATAAAAGGGCATTAGTGTTTCTTTTTAACATACTTGCTAATCTTGTTGCATCAATCATAATCAAAAGCGCAATTATTTTCTGATTGCTAGCTGGAACGTTGAAATAAATCATGACCAATAATTATTTTCGCTCCGCTTATTTCTGTCATTATCCATGATTATTAATTATTCAATAAATTGTAAATATAAATTGCAGATTAGGTAATTATTCGATTACGCTTTATTCAATTTTGTTAATAAATGAAAAGGTTAATAAAAATATTCTTACTCAGATGATATCTTTCGTTTACATAATTAAAGATATCGCGTTTAAAAATCAACATAAGATAAAAATTGACCGTATTTGACCAACTTAGTGCTAAATGTCATGTGAAAATTATTGGATTTCAAGTTATCGCGATTTCCGGATACTGTAATCTGATAAGTGGGACCAATCACGTCGTTGCTCGTGAAATAGTTTTGTCGATAAAAACGGCCTTGACACGGCTCCTAGAATGATGCGCGTTTACCCGGAATTAATATGAAACTTTGAGAAATTTACGACGGCGCATTCGCAAACATCTCAGGAATGCAGCCGGCGTAATTTCGCTAGAGAATAAAAAACATCGGTGGGAAAGTCCGTACGTTATGCGACTCAGAGCGAATGTCTGCGCACTCCATTCAACAGATCGCAAACTGGCTTTGCAACAAGTGAACCGCTAATGCCATTATATCATGTTCACCTTTCACGCTAATACTAATCTAGTTAAAAGTCTTCTTTCCTAATGTTAACCCGTTTAATCGAGTTGTCGAGATTGTTTGACATGTGACGTACGTATATGATAATTTTTCCTATCAAAATCATGATGTAAATTCTAACTGACAATATTGTATAAGAATCCTGAATAAATCTGAATTGTATAATTTCAAAACTTTCGGAGCTCTGCATTTACAATATTTCAGAACTGAGAAAAATTTACGGATATTTATTTGTTTAGAGATTTGAAGAGTTTACGTTTTCGTGTCTTATAATTTTTATCTCGTGTTATAAAATTCCACACCTTCGCCATTATAAAATCGCTAACAGTTAACTAATGGCTCTTATTATCTTATGAAGGTGAAACCGTTTGCGCAGTTTCAATTGTTTGTGCAACATGGATACGGCTGGAACTGCTGCAAAAGTTGGGCGGCACACGCATTCCAGAATGCATGCAGAAGCCGTCGAACGACGGCGCACAATTTTCCATTCGATACGTGGCGTAATTACGCGCTTCCGGTTTCCCGGAACAATTGCAGTCGGGCGACCATCCGCGACGACGAGCCATCGATCCTCCCCCCCCCCCTCTCTCTCTCTCTCTC